GAAGCTGCAGGGGCATATTCTGTACGCAAAAACTGATTCTTTAAGCTAAAGTTGTTTTGTTGACTATAGTGTCCCTTTAAGGCCAAAACAACTTAACTCAAAATAGCTGAACTGGAAAATAAAATCTCTGCCAGCTATGCTTATAGTTCTGCTATGTTGGACTAAAATGTTAAATTCACTTTGAGTGCCAGATAATTCTCCCTTTAGTAAATAACCCATATTACATATGTACCTATACTCTCATGTCTGCTATTTATTGACGTACTAATATGTCATTGTCAAAGTGATCTCAATCCCACCATTCTGTTACTTATTAAGAGCATTTTTACAATTATCAGATCAGTGAAAAGGGGCTCAATATCTTTCTTTAAAGCAAACCTATCATTTTATTTTTCTTGTGGTTTTCATTCCTTTTGTCGCTTGTATCTTAATGGTTATGTTTCCTCTTTCCTTTTCCCTCTATTTGTTAATTTTTCTCACTTGATCTGTGAGCGAAGTGGCGGAAAAATGTTCCTACCAGTGTACTGCAAAATGTATACATAATGTTATTTTACGTTTATATTTTGCAGCACACTGAATGGCCCATTTTCACACCATTATGGTATGTCTGATTTTGTTCCCAAAGCAGTTTTTTGGTACTGATATTCTTCAGAGCTGAACAAACATATGGCCAAGATTTGGGTGTCCCCAAAAATGTTCTATTTTCAGGAAAAATCGTACGGGCAAGTTGAATTTTGTCGCCATGTACAAGTATAATGAAAATGTCATGAGCTTTGGATCCAGATGCAAGGCTTAATAAACGCTCTTCTAGCCAAACATCCAATAAGAGCAGAGCTGTAATTTCTGACATTTCCATTTACAATGAACAGTTAAGTAAAACCAACCAAAAGATGCTCTTCTAATTCCTGTTCCATAAAAGGTTTACTGAGGTATGATGTGAACTTTAAAATCCCTATCTCATTTTGAAGCCAATCCTTATCCATCACACTATAACAGGTAAAAACTCTGAGAGCCCAAGGCTCCACTGAACACATCGCCAATTAATGTGACAGAGTCACTTTATCTCCAATTGATACATAGCTGGACTTTATGCACCATCTATTGAAGATTGGTCCTACCACTATATACCTACTGGTTACGGGAAGAGGTTGCATGAATTTATCACTGTAACTTCTGTTTCTTCTTAAAAGGGAATCTTCTCACCAGATACATTATTTATTATGAGTGTTTCGGCAAGGAGTTACAATTGGCAACTAATGACACCAAATTATTTAATCAAGAAGGAAATATTTAGCTTTAAAAAGTTTTTAAACATGCCCTGGGGCCTAGGTGCTACTAAAAACAAAGAACCTGCAAGCCTGATGCTTTGGGAGCACTAACCACTGACCTATCTAACATATGAATCTCTTTCAATGCATTTTAGTTTTAATTACATAACATGCATATACCTCCATTAAAGAAGTGTATAGCAGACATCCATTCAATAACTGATCTTCATCTTCTCTTTCCTTTCTGTCAACACACTTATCTGCAGCACAGGCTGTTTTTCCTAACAGGATAACTAAAATGTATTTCATATATTCACCCATTTATCACCGATTTGGACAATTCGCTTAAATAGATAGATGAGTTTATGTCTGGGAGAATATTATTATGGACCTGCTGGGGCTTTACAATCACTCAAATGTTTATAAGATTTAACAAAAAAGGTGAACAAAAACTCTTGTGTCTGCACTAAGTATTCTATTAAACCACAAGATTAACTTCTGTAAAAGGAATCGTCGTAGGCCAAACAGTAAGGTGATATATTGCATATTGCAAAGACTACAGAGCAATGGCTTTGTATTAGTTGATGTTCTTCTGCCACCCTTTCTTTCATCGCACTTTGTGACCTCTCATGGCCATTAAATTCATGTTCCGGAACACTAAATTATAAAGATACTTGCAGTGTATGACACATATCTAAAGGTGTCTGCCATACAATTATCAGATACAAGACAGGCAAGAAGATTTAGAAAGTAGAACCATTGAAGGGTTGTTCATCTTTTGAAGTTGTGGCTGGTAAGCTGACGGTCATTTAATACCTGTAAGTCTTAGTCAAGCGATTAGAAAACCAATACCGGATTAAAGAATCTTACCTCAATGACAAGAGATAAGATATATGTACAAAACATCAGGCATCAATGCAGTTTCTAGATCAAATTATTGTCTCACAAAAGAGCCTTTCTCGAGCCTGGAACCGAAATGTTGTTGTGTGGCAATGTATTGCCCTACACACTACTTGGGTGCCTGATCCCACATAGAAAACTACAGATGAGCTTGGCCTTTCAAAACAATGAAGCACCAAGTGGTTGTCTCAATTTGTGAATGTGCACCTTCATGATGAGCAGCAGACATTATGTATCCAACTTCTAAGTTAGTTTATTACACCGTTCTTGTGGAACTCGCTTCCCTCCTCTGTTAGATGCCCACCCAGTCTCCACTCCTACAAAAATCATTAAAAACCCACTTCTTCATAAAAGTGTATCAATTAAACTGTTAATAGCTCCTGACTGATTCCTCTTCTGCAACTGTCACTAGTCTAATACTATCCTTACCTTTTTGTGTCATTTTACCCCACTCCCTCTAGCATGTAAGCTCATTGAGCAGGGCCCTCAACCCCTCTGTTCCTGTGTGTCCAACTTGTCTGGTTACAACTACATGTCTGTTCGTCCACCCATTGTAAAGCGCTGCGGAATTTGACGGCGCTCTATAAATAGCATAATAATAATAATAATAATAATTACAGAGAACCCAAAGCAAGAGTCATGGTTGACTAACAGCATCACAGGTTATATCTTCAGACAAGGTTCTATATTTAGAAATGTCACAATTACAGGAATTGGGTGAATCACATCCATAAGATGCATATCTAACTATGTATGTTGATTTTCTTTTATACCTATAAAATCTTTAGGGTGAGGCAGAAGTACAACATAGGGAGAGAACATTTTCAACTAGTTAATAAACTTTTTTTTTAAATGCATCTTTTCTTAAAAGTGTTGGAAATTTATGGAAATGCTGATTTAGGCAGGATGAAGCATTTTTTAAGAACAGTGCTGCCTTAGAGAGATCCAGTAAGCTAGTTTTTGAACAAGAATGATGGACACTTGGACAGTTATAAGATTTTGACATAGCAGAGGCAGCAAGGTAGGTTGTATTTGCTTAAAAGGTTACCCCAACCACTATGACCATTTCAGTGATTTTAACTGGTCAGTGTGGTAGGAGTCCATATGTGCAGCGTTTCAGCTTGAAACGCTGCATATACAAAGATATTGGCACTTTTGTACTGGGAGCTAGTTACAACCCTGGGACATGTGACATAGGCAGTCTGTTACTGTTCCAGGATACCTAATGTCAGTTGTGTGCATATCTTCCATCTGTCGCCAGAGCCTGCAAGGGGAAGCCTGAGTGTATCCTACTCCCTTTATTTATTCAGCCCTCAACTCTTCCTGCCTCCCCACATTAAATTTTGCTATCTTTTTATTCCCCCATCCCTGTCCACTCCCTCTCTGTACCAACTAAGATTGTGTGCACGTGCTCTGAGCCGGCGAAATGGTTCAATGACAGGTTTTTCAATGAGAAGTCTGTGATTGAACTGTGTAAGGCCCCCTGCTGACGTTAGACTGAGGTTGGAGATCAAGATGGACTGTTCTATCTACGGTTCCCCACCATTAAGGGTACCTCCTGCCAATTTCGTCAGATCACTGCATACACAAGATGGCGGCTGCTCACACTTCCTGTGGGAAAGACCCAACTCTGACACAGGAGTCTCTCCCAGGCTCCGTAGAGCACTCCCTCATGAAGCTGGAGGCTATCTTCAAGTGATTCTGGGCAGCCCTGGGGGAGCGCTCGGCTGCACCACCCGCATCACCAGCAGGTGACTGGAGGAATGACTGGCATGGAGCAGGGGGGCCCTGTTCGGGTGCAGCATCTGTGCACACGCTTGTCAGGCTCATTGTTCGCCCACCCAGGTTAAAGACCTCCAGGGGTTTGGCCCCGAAGCATCATCCACACCAGTTGAAGTATGTCCGCACCAGGGGGCGAGTGAAGACCAGGACCTTTAGCTTTCCCTCGTGTGAAAGAGACTATGCAAGAATCTGAATCCGTGGCACTGAGATGCTGGCTAACACTCCAGCCTGGGGCAGAATGGAAGCCCTACCTTGCTCTAGTTCTGCAGCTGCCTTCCGTTTTTCTCCTGCTTATTCCACTGGCCTGCCGACTTCTGGAATTGGGTGACTGGGGACCCTGAATGCATATAGGCCTTTTGATGCAGACTTACTAGCTGCATAATTATAGTGACCGTTACCATGATCTATAGTTTTGTTTCATTTTGACCGGTTGTCTTTTATCTTTATTTTCACATACAGGAGGCTTATATTACTCTATTATTAATATGTCAAACCCCAATGGTATCTCTTCTGCAGTGCGTGCATTCCAATAATAATTGTATGATAGTATTTGGTAACCTGCTATTTCTGCTCTCCGTCACACACTCTGTACCATCCTTGTCTCACTTATATTATTTCATATTCACAAAAATGTGCTCTTGTTATACATGCCATGCCAGTGTTTTACTATGTTTTAGTTAATGTACTGGACAATGCTGTTGTGGCACTCTCAGCATGCCTGTTATCTTGTGCACAACAAAATAAATATTTTTTTTATTTTTTTTTTTTAAAGGGGGAAGAGATGCCAATTTTTTAGTCTTACACATTTATCTTCTATAACACTGTTCAAGTTTAGAAACTTTGTGTAACCTTGTTTATTGCCAAGCTCCTTCAACAATACGCAACAAAATCTGATTCTCCTCTCACGTTAATATAATTAAAATAGTCATGGTATTTAAACAGTCTAGTTAATGGTGAATTTGCTGACAGTGGAAAAGTTCTGCCCAAGTTGAATTAAGCTGTATCTAAGATGCCACAAGATATAGTTATTGGTCTTGGTGGTTGCACCGTATTAGGTCCATGGAGACCAACAATCAGATACAATGTATCATGATATTTACATTTATGTTATCTCTTCCGGAAATCATTACTGTGTGTTTTTACAATTAAATGACTCCTTGTATACATATAGAAAATGTCCGTATCTTTTTGCCAGATTAAATTGTAGATAATTGTATTAAACCTGGATGTGATTCCAATGAACTTGACCTACACAACTGTAGACTTTTAATGCAATATTAGCAAGATGGCCTTTGGTGCAGTTTCTAAGCAGAAATGACTACAAGATAGGAATAATTACAAAGCTTTAATTACCTCATCCTTACATGATTGGATATGGTGCGTGACTGCATATTAAGCTGACTGAACATTTCCAGGGTGTAAGCAAGAGTTTAATTTGGGGTTTTAGATTTAAGTGTAAATTGGATTTTCTTTATGTCGATGCAAATGTATCCAAATGATTAAATAAAACAGACAGTCTGAGCTGGGAAACAGCTGAGCATCTTCAGCCAGACTGGTGCAGATTCCGAACAGGATCACACATCCTTTGAGGTCCATATACCTACCATCCCTTTTACGTGGCTGGAAATAATATAAAAACTGGAAATGATTCCATCTATTCCTGCCAGGCTGCATGTTTTATCTCCTGTCTCTAAAGCCATGTATTAGTGATTTATATCTGTCATTTTGTGCCAAAAGCTGGCATTGTGATCACTGCCGTTCCTTTAACCCCTTAAGGACACATGACATGTGTGACAGGTCATGATTCCCTTTTGTTCCAGAAGTTTGGTCCTTAAGGGGTTAAATATGTTCTTCATTACATTTGTTTTCATTATTATTTTTACAGCACATTTTCCATTTCTCCCCGCTGTGTGAAATACTAGCTTGTAACTTGTTACTTAGAAGCCCTATTATATGCTTTCCTTTTTGTTAACCCTCTCTTTTCTAACAAATCAGATATCAATTTATCAGATATCTAACGGTTCGAGATATAATCTAAGGGAGAATTTATTTTTCTCCATTCAAGCAAGGATCTCATTGTGGAATCTGATGATGAATAATCATGCTGGGCACCAAGTGTTATTATATGAAATATTTAAGAGACACTCTAAGCAGCAAAACAGCAGCTTTACCTTAATGAAGCAGTTTTGGTGTACAGATCATGCCCCTGCTGTCTCACAGCTTGTAGGAGCCATGTAATTATGATGAGCCTGCTAAAGCCTGTAGGAGCCACCTGTGCATGATTACCATTCAATTAACAGAGCAGAAGATAAAAACATCTAAAGTAAACACAATGCGCTGTCACATATGATTGAAAATGAAACTATTTTTTCAGGTAGGCTGTGAGTCACACAAAAGTTATTTAACTCCTAAATGGCAGAGACTTGTTCTGTGAGACTGAAGGTGCATGATCTGTACACCTAAAGTTGCTTTGTTGCTTAGTATGTCCATTTAAACTACATTAAATTGGGTCTCCATTTCCCAAGTATAAAGTAAACTGTTCAATAGAAACTGATCTCCTGGAGTTCAAGTAGTAAAAATCTGCAAACTTTATTCTCTACTTAAGGGGTTTAAAATCCAATGTGTGCCCAGTAAATCACAGACAGTTCTTTATCTCAGCAGGTGCCAATAGGGCAATATCAGAACTTTCTGCGTAAACTGTCTAAGGTACTGTTTCTGATTTTAATTTTTCTTTAAGAGGAACTTGCAGAGGAACTTAAAATTCTACTCATCTTAAAGTGGTACATACATAATTGGTGCGGCTGGATACAACTCCTAAAAAATTATTTACACATTCGAAAAATTTAAAAACAAAAAACAAATAAAATGCTATTTACTAGCTCATTACCTGGAATAATTTACAATTGTATAAGCACATCGTACGTGGGCATGAAACTGACATTAGTGGAGAAGTGAAGGGTAATAAAATAATGAATTATTACACCAACAACAGAGAAAAACAAAAAGGATAAAATCCTAATTACTCACAAGTACAACGTCTGCCCGGGATTTCTCTGGTAAGGAAAGATGGTTGCTCACTTAGAATTAGATTCTGACTCCTAAGCAAGTACACCAAGACCTTTCATTATCACTTTTTGATCAGTCCTTGTTTAATGGATTAAGCACACAGAGTAATCAGAAAGCCATTCCGGGTGGCCAAATAGAAGTTTAGAGCATCTTAGAAGTGAATTGTCAAAGTAGTGGTAGCACAGTATTCCAGAAGTAGGCACAGCATTTACAGCGCTCAGACGCACTGATGACCCACATATTTAAGAAGGTGCATGAGAGCCGTCAGTGTTTCTCTTAAAGAAACATACATACATTTAATTTTTTATGAGTCATAACGATTAAATTATAAGCGTAATCTTGAGGACTGATGCAGTGGTCGGACAAGAAAAATGAGTGCAGGAGATGAATTGTACATGCTTACTTCCTTTCACAAATGGAAGATGTCCAACTGGGTCATCACTGCAGAACTGACAGAAACTAGTGTGACACATCTACTGTCTGGAGAAGTCTGGCCAAATGTGATCTTAAAGGACACTATGGTGTCAGGAACACACAAGCGTCACTATGGTGTCAGGAACACAAATGTGTATTCCTAACACTATAGTTCTAAAACCACTTAGGTGGTCAACCCCCCTCACCTAAGAATAGAAAGGTGATTTACTTGCCGCGTGGGGCTACTCGCTTTTAGCCCTGCCCCTGATTCACCTCCTTGTGAAAACATTGGATTGGCTGAGATTGTTAATCCTGATGATCTCAGCCAAGGAGGTGGGCCGGAGGATGGAGCCAAACCCAGCCATGGCCAATCAATGCATCTCAATGGGGAAAGTTTAGAGTCTCCATGCAGAGCTTCAGAGTCTCAATGCTGCACATCAGTGGTGCATGTTGTGCAGCACTGACCCAGGAATCATTTCTAGTAGACATCTGATGAGTGGCCACTAGAGGTGTTCCTAAGCTGTGTTTTCTCTGAAAAGGCAGTGTTTACATTAAAATGCCTGCAGGGACTGTGTTTACTCACCAGAACAACTACAATAAGCTGTAGTTGTTCTGGTGACAATAGTGTCCCTTTAATGAATGACTTGCAGACAAAACGACATAGTTCTCACATGGAAAAAAGGACTTGTGACTCAACTATGCATGAAAACAAGTGAACTGGAGTGCAGAAAAATGACAGCAGGTGCTCAGGAATGATGAGTCAAAATATGAGCCAAACCCAGCCCTGGCCAATCAGCATCTCCTCATAAAGATGCATTCAATTAATGTATCTCTATGGGGAAAGTTTAGAGTCTCCATGCAGAGCGTCAGAGTCTCCATGCTGAACGTCAGTGCTGCATGTTGTGCAACACTGACCCGGGAACCATCTCTAGTAGCCATCTGATGAGTGGACACTAGAGGTGTTCCTAAGCTGTGTTTTCTCTGAAAAGGCAGTGTTTACATTAAAATGCCTGCAGGGACTGCATTTACTCACCAGAACAACTACAATAAGCTGTAGTTGTTCTGGTGACAATAGTGTCCCTTTAATGGATGACTTGCGGACAAAAAGACATAGTTCTCACATGGAAAAAAGGACTTGTGACTCAACTATGCATGAAAACAGGTGAACTGGAGTGCAGAAAAATGACAGCAGGTGCTCAGGAATGATGAGTCAAAATATGAAATATTTTGATGTAGCAGAAGGCAGTTTGTTCACAAAGGGTTGAAGATCAGTACAACAATGAGTGAAGCAAAAATGAAAAGCGGCAATGTAAGCACCAAACCTATTTCATCATAATGAAATTGTTTTGGTGCATAGATCCTGTTTCTGCAGTTTGACAATACAAATGTAGCCAATAGAATGCTTCTAAGGGATGCCAACCAATAGAGGCACTTCCTCAAGAAGATCTTCATCATCTCACTAAGCATAGTGAAGAACACTGTGAATGGTTCTCACAGAGAATAATTTGACTCAAAGCTACTCTTTGCCTCATCCAATCATACCCTAACTTAACTATCTCTGGTAAGTGTTTTCTTGAAGAGTGATTTCATGATAATCACAAAGTTATTATCATAGAACAGGTCTCATCATATCATGGATCACTTCAAAGAAATGGGTGTAACTTGGACAGAGATAAGAAATGCTTTAAATAGCCAAGCAGGAGTTAAAGAAAATCTCCCTAAGGACCTTACACTCTCTAATGGGCACTCCCCAATACATTCATTGGTCCATTTCCAATACTTCAAATAATCAGTTATGTCACAGTAAAATTGGATCTTCCAAATTCCATGAGAATGCATCCATCATTCCATGTATCGCTGCTAAAGCCTTCTCATGGAGATGTAACCACTAATCCCCTTCCTTCAATCCTTTTGACAATGAGGAAGAATACAAATCAAACAAATATTAGATTGCAAAAACCAATATGGTAGGCTTGAATACCTGATTAAATGGAAAGGATATGATGACTTTCATAATGAATGCGTTTTCCATTACCACGTACATGCCCCTGATCTTATCTCCATTCCACATTTACCGCACAGCTCCCTCAGGTAGTTCTTTGCACATTAAGGATAATATAATCTTATCGTTATGTCTCTTTAAAAATTGAATATATGTTTCTTTATGATAGACACCAACTCTCATGCTTCTACTTAAATATGTGGTCTGTCAGTGCCTGTGTGTTGTGCTGTGAACTTTGTGTCTGCCCCTGCAAATGCTGTGCTTCCACTACTTTGACTACTCGTTTCTGTGACACTCTAAACTTCTATTTGACCCCCCAAAAACCGACACGGACTGGTTTTCTGATTACTCTTTTTGCTTAAAGGGATACTATAGTGCTAAGAATACACAGAAGGATTCCAAGCACTATAGCCCTCTCAAAACCCTTCCCCTTACTCCAGCCCCCAACCCCTGTAGTGTGAGGGTAAATAAACTCTTACCGTACTTACTCGATTCCAGCATCGATCCCCCTAATGTGCTTGCACTGCGAACATCGCAAGCGCATTAGTCCCTCCTCATAGAAAAGGTTTGCTGAAATGCTTTCGTATGGGGAATTGACTGACACTGGATGTCCTCGTGCAGAGTGTGAAGATCTTTAGAGTGCAGTGTTAAGACTGCCTCTAGTGGTTGTCTACGAGACAGCTACTAGAGGTGCTTCCTGGAGTTTCACAGAGGAAACATTGTGCATGAGGATGTCCAGTGTCTAGAAAATCCTCGCTGCGCATGCACATTAGGGTTCCTGTCCAGCTGATGTCAGAGGAGGAGGAGTGCGACCCAGCATATTGTTGAAATCATGTAAGTGTATAAAGGGTTTTTTACCCTTTATTTGCATGGGGGCAGAGGGCAACATAGTGTTAGGAATACAGTTTTGTATTACTAACACTATAGTGTTTCTTTAAAACCACCTGCCTAATATCAATAGACCTTGGACACACATGATCCTGATGCCTATTCACTGGTTGTCCTTTCTTGCACCACTTTTGGTAGGTTTTGTAGGTGCCTGAGCCAGTGGTCTAGCTATTACTATTTGGTCCTTGTCAAAGTCAATGAGATCTTTTGGCTTGTTCATTTTCCTGCTTCAACACATGAAATTCAAGAACTGACTGTCCACTTGCTGCCAGAGTAACAATATCATCAATAAATAATGTTATATATTACTTTACCTGTCAGTGGTTTTAATGCTGTGGCTGATCAGTGTATTATTATACATTCCTTTACAAGCAAAGGTGTTGGGATAGGTGGGTGTCCATAGCTGATGTAAGCAAACATACACGTGTGCAGTTCATAGGATCATTAGAGGACAAATTACTGTCGTTTCCATATCCATTTTCAAATTTAGAATTTTGACAAAACAGGTTTATTGAGCTGTAAGACCAGGGACAAAGCATATTGACAGATCAGCTAGAATGTTATTGGGTTTTTTTTTTTGGTGATTAAATAATTTTAATGCCATTACTTATGGTACATTGATAAGTCTTTGGACCTTAAGGATTTAACCCTTTTTACTTGCACAGGTTACAACAGCGTGGAGCATTGTGGACCAGTTAAGAAAGCAATTGCATGGGTTTTATGTATGGTTTAGAGCTCTGTATATACCAAATGTAACATTTGATTTCAGGCCAAATGAAATACGTACATACGTTCTCGATCTCCTGCTTCCTTTCCTAGAATGAGTTGGATTTGTAAAATTAATTTCAGAAGTGTTACATCAAATTTATATTTATCAGTGTAGCACAGCATACCGCCTGTGATAAAGGGTCAGCACTAGGGCACGCCATTTCCTTGTAAATAAAGCTCTGTTTTATGCATCAAGTTTGGCATTGTCTGGTTCTGCTGTGATTTGAAGTGAAAGACTAAATTCAACATATTGACTATTCAAAGTTCTGCAGATCACAAAGTGCATTATAACCCGCCAGTTTGAAACAGTGGCATAACAGCACCATCTAGTGGATATATGTACATATTATTGCAAGAAAACATTGCATGAATCTTAACATTTTAATGTGATCATTTTCTTAAAACTCCTAAGCAGATTTTATATTGTACTGCAGTCACACTTTCTGTTTTAAAAGGGATTTATTAAAATGTTTTCAGTGTCATACCTCCCAACATTTCAAATGAACAAAGAGGAACACTTTAACATTAGGAGTGTGAGTAGGGTGTAGCCATGGATGGGGTTATCCTGCACCAAAATATAATTTAGAACCCAAACAAGGCATTTCATTTAAACATACTGATTTCTAAACACATCTATTGTAGTAATATGAGCATTATTACCGTGGAGCTCTGTTATACACTGGGAATCCCCGAAAATATGGAGCTCCTTGAAAAGGGACACCCCATTGCATAAATACAACTCACTATTTGGTAGATATACCCCAAATTAAAACGTGTGTCAATACCAATTGATGCCATCAGCGGAGGGAGGATTAAATACGGAAGCAGTGGAAAACACTAATTGATAAAGCCAAAGTGAAAAGGCGAAGCACATCTTTTTTAATAGTAGACTTGCATTGCGGACATTTTTAAAGCATTCACAATAAAGTGTGTTTTTGTGATAGCCTTTGCCTACTGCTCCAGGGGGTGTTACCACTTGGAACACAGATCCGATGTTCCACAAGACGGATTCTTTGGTTCCTCCCAATGCGAGTTTATACTTAGTGTTTTAAAGATCTGTGTGTTAAATTCCCATCAGCACTATTCCAATATTTTTATCTTGTTGAGGAGCCCCTATCATGGAGAGGTGTGGAGGAACCTCTAACACACTACTGCAATCAGAGCCAAATCTAACTGGCTTAGAAGGTGAATGTACACCTTTGTAACTATCATCTTTATTCACTTGTGTAACAGTTTGCACTATGTTTTTGCATTTTTGTTTTCTGGGTATATACAATTAATCATTGCTGACTAAAAGACTTAAGCGACACTGTCACACCTCCCCTAGAAACTGAGTATTTCATATACCATGCCAGTCTTAAAGGGACACTTCACATAATGCATTTTCAGCATGAGCTTGACCAGAGTACTCTCCGTACAGAGACACCAACCCTTAAACTGACACTCACGCTGATTATTTAGAGCCGAATAGTAGGCTCAATATAAGGTGAGCATTCATTTTATTAAATATACTCACCTTGGTTTAAAGGTACTACACTATATTACGCCCTTTTCTGATATTTTATTTCTGAGGGATTCTGTCTACGGGTCCAAAGAAGAGGGGACAGTACCACCAGACGGTACAAAAACGCAAGTGATTTGAGCCTATCCTCATTTGGGCTCTGAAATATGTGAGTTGGCATTTCTCATGATTGTTGTAATATAATATACTGTTACTCAGATTTACACTATTATTTTCTCTGTATATGTTCCTCTTTTTCATTGTATATATGCTGAATTGGAAGTTATTACTACGTTAGGACCAGATGACCCTTAATGTTGGGTAGGTGTCCATTATTATTATTATATGCTCCACTCTTATAGGTGAACTGCCTGTGGCTCTTTTACCTTTTCTGTAGTTTTCAATTTGAGTTGGGTGTGAGGGACCCCCACAAGAGTGTTGTAGCATCCTTTCATACTATTCTTTACTATTTATAAGCGCCTTTTATACACAGTTTCTTTTCTTTTTTCTACAATTGGCTAAGTCTCTCATATACTGTGTGGCTGCTACATTTAATAATATCATGTTTTCTAATCGTATGCAATGTGGCAAGAATATAGACATGATGTTTAACGATCCCTATGGAAGATATAGGTGAGAATATAGACATTCAAAACTGTCAATACAAATTAGAAAAAGCATTAACCAGGGAAATGAAGATAAAGTGGGAAGTGGCAACAATGGAAAAATATATTAGGGAGAAAATCACCCCTAGAGGCCTCAGATTTACTAAAAATCCATCATTCGATCAGGATGAGGAGGAATTTATAGAGGAATGGATCAATATGTTAGAGAGTTTTTCTTTTGGACTAATGGGTCTAATAGTCAAAAGAAGAAACAGTACCCTTAAAAAAATTGATAATGAAATCAATGCTCTACAAGAGACATTAAATACCAATATGCCATCAGAAGGTTATTCCTCCATGGTGGATAGAATTCAAATGAATATTAATAAAGTAGAAAAAACGGTAATAACTATGAAAAAAAAGAAATACATTAGGGACAAGAATGATTATGCTCATAATCAGGTCCGTTCCTATTCAAAAACACAATCAAGATATAGGACAGAGACCCAGAATGAGCAAAATTCCAAATACAAATCGATGGATAGGGGATATCAACCCTATGGTTCCAATTCATCACGACAACCATTTGTGAGACAGACCATTGTCAATAAAAATCTAGAATCCAGATATAAAACTAGAGACCATTCTAAGGGGAAATATTCCCATATACAGCCTCACACACATACCCCAGAACAAGTGGTAAGAAAAAAAGAACTAAAAAGACCAATGCATCATCATTCTACTACAAATCCCCAACAATCCACCAGCCATTATTCAACATCATCTATTCCTCTTCATAATAGATTTGATTACTTGGAAAGATCCCCGAGAAGGGAGGATTTTCAAGGGACATACACCAGGGACAAACACAAGAATACACCAATGAAATTTTGGGGGAAAAGAACGCGAAGTTTAGAAGAAGGGGAAGTAGAGGAGGAACGACAATACAGAAAAGAAAGACAAGGCAAACGGGATCCGTAGAATCGAATGGTATTTTTAATCTTACCACTCGTACATTAACAAATACTCAAACTACACTCTTATCCAAGGGTTTAAAATATGCACCCACAAAATCTATAGATAAATTTAATGTATATGTAGACTTGCAAAAATTCAAGAGGAAACTGTGTCTTAAGAAATTCTTTCTTAAAAATCCTGTAGACACTACTGGCTCCCCTCAGGATGAATTTATTCATTCAAACCTTAGAGAAACATCCACTTTTTATCCCCACTCATTAATTTCAGAGGAAATTATCACATTTGAAAAAATGGTAATGAGTGAAGTTAAAAACCTCAAACCACCCAAGAATTGGGAATACAATCTCAATAATAAGGAAAGGGATACCCTCAAAGAGTTCAAGAAAGATGATACATTGGTGATAAAACCAGCCGACAAGGGGGGGGGGATAGTTCTGATGGAAAAGGAAAATTATGTTCAAGAATGCTATAGGCTACTAGAAGATGTCCATACATATAAAAAATTGACAAAGGACCCTATTAATGACATTAAAGTAACCTATCATCAACTTTTAGATCAGGGTAAAATATTGGGAATTCTAAATAATAAGGAACAAAAGTACCTTGATGTCCAATATCCTAGAACCCCAGTTTTTTACCAACTTCCTAAAATTCATAAAAATAAGGAACACCCACCAGGAAGACCTATAGTGTCTGGTATAGGGTCTATATCTAGCCGTCTGTCACAATATATAGACAGATGTCTCCAGTCTGCAGTTCCTCGATGTCCCAGCCATCTCAAAGATACATTGAGTATATTGAATCTCTTAAAAAATCAGGTATGGAAAGATGACTTTATTTTGGTAACAGCGGACGTGAGCTCGCTGTATACCATCATTTCTCATGAACGCGGATGCCAAGCCACAAGGTTTTTCCTGGAGGAGTTTGGAGAATTTCCTGGGGAACAGATTAATTTTATTGTTGAGGGAATCAGATGGATTCTTACCAACAATTACTTTTGGTTTGGGGGTGATTTTTACCTCCAAATATGCGGTACGGCGATGGGCACCAGATTCGCCCCCAGTTATGCCAATTTGTTCATGTCATTTTGGGAACATCAATATGTATATGCAAGGCAGGACTGGGAGGAGAATCTGGTGCTCTATCGCCGATATATCGATGATATATTCTTGATCTGGAAAGGAGATGAGGAATCTCTAATATCCTTTTTATCAGCCCTAAATGATAACACATGGGGTATTAAACTTGAAAGCAATTACAGCTGTAAGTCTGTGGAATTTTTGGATCTCCAAATTTATATAGAGGAAGGAGAAATTAAGACTAAAACACATTTCAAAAAAGTAGATGTAAACAGTTACATTGAGGAGACGAGCTGTCATTTCTCCCCCTGGCTCACAAATGCACCTAAAGCACAATTAATGAGGATCAAACGGAACTGCACTGATAATGAAGTTTTTAAAGTTCAATCATGCAAAATTCTTAATGATTTTAAACAGAAAGGATATGAAGCTCAACTATTAGATAAGGCCCAACATGAGGTTGTTTTAAAAGATAGAGAGTCACTTTTAGAATATAAATTACCACAAAATGAAAAAGAACGCAATTTGACGTTTATTTGTGACTTTAGTTGTCAAAACCATAAATTAAAAAGAATCTTTCAAAAATATTGGCCTATTTTAAAGAATGATACGTTCCTAAATGAGATATTACCAAACAAACCCATTTTTACTTATAGAGGAGTTCCCAGTTTAAAAACGAATTTGGTACGGAATCATATAAAAGAACAAAATACCACTAAAAATGTTTTTAATCAAAAGAATGGATTTTATGGGTGTGGTACATGCGGGGCATGTAGAAATAGTGGTCAAAATAAGAGACATATTATTTCATTTTCTACCCGAAATTCACAACTCCAAGGCAAACAATCTAAAGAATATAAAATTAATCAACTTATAACCTGCTACTCTAAACGAGTTATTTACCTTATTACTTGCAAATGCGGTTTAAGTTATGTAGGTAGGACTACGAGATCCCTCCATGTAAGAATACAAGAACATGTCCGTAACATCAGGAAGGGTTTTGAAAAGCATAGCCTTTCCGCACATTTTAAACATAAGCATAATTGCGACCCAACTCAATTAACATTTATGGGTATACAAGTGGTAAATATTAACTGGAGAGGAGAAGATCCAATAAGAAAAATGGGCCAACAAGAGATGAGGTGGATTTTTGACCTCAATACTATGATTCCAACTGGCCTAAATGGCGACTTTGAAATGTGTCATTTTTTGTGAAGTCACTTTAAATAATGTGTATATGTTTTATACTTCATAATTAATATTTATATTTTTAATTTATAGAACTATTTTTTGTGAGGCTACTTTTAGAAAATATGTGTGCATTTTGTATCTATCATCTAAAGAATACATATATATTTTTTAATATATTTTTTAATTTATAGAACTATCCTTTTTGCTCAAACTGAAATCAGTGTGATGTGAAATAAGGGTTTATAATACCAAATTCAGTCCCTATTTCTTTGTGAGTAACAATTTGAATGACAAAGATACTAGTGTATGTTTTATATGTATCTTATTTCTGTATAACAATGTCTGCAGAATTTGTGCTACATAGAATAAAGGGCAGTTGGGAAATGACGAACACGATCAAGTGGTGTTCTGTCACTTTTTCCATTTCATTGCCCATTAGCAAGATGGCGACCGCAACACCGGAGGTGACGTGGCATTGACGTCACTTCCGGTTACGGACGTGAGCGTCAAGAGGGATGAGGTAAGCCATAACACACTCCCCTTGTTTAAGGGGATTGGCTAATTATCGGCACAACCCACCAATGAGAAGATAGACCGGCATATTTAAACCGGGACCGGAATGAGAGCAGTGAATAACCGATTGAGAAAGCCCTCAAGCAGGGCGAAACGCGTCTCGGGAAAACGAGGACATTTATGGGACATTTTTTATCCTTCTTCTGTTTTTAATTTGATTTGTATGCAGTTGGATTTTCTAGCCTGTTGGCAAAATAAATTAATTTTAATCAAGTTCCGGTTGACCTCTATTTAAGCTGCTCAAAGAAGGGTTGGTGTCTCCCTTAAACTGACACTCACGCTGATTATTTAGAGCCGAATAGTAGGCTCAATATAAGGTGAGCATTCATTTTATTAAATATACTCACCTTGGTTTAAAGGTACTACACTATATTACGCCCTTTTCTGATATTTTATTTCTGAGGGATTCTGTCTACGGGTCCAAAGAAGAGGGGACAGTACCACCAGACGGTACAAAAACGCAAGTGATTTGAGCCTATCCTCATTTGGGCTCTGAAATATGTGAGTTGGCATTTCTCATGATTGTTGTAATATAATATACTGTTACTCAGATTTACACTATTATTTTCTCTGTATATGTTCCTCTTTTTCATTGTATATATGCTGAATTGGAAGTTATTACTACGTTAGGACCAGATGACCCTTAATGTTGGGTAGGTGTCCATTATTATTATTATATGCTCCACTCTTATAGGTGAACTGCCTGTGGCTCTTTTACCTTTTCTGTAGTTTACTATCGGCCAATGAGCCTGCCATGCAGTGCAGGACTTAGCTCAGAAGAGCGAACGGAAGTTCATAAACAGAAGCTTCCATCTTTCCAGTAGATGTAGTGGAGGCAGGGACACTTCTGACACCATAATTCATATGGCACATTCTAGTGGTTATGGTGCTTGGAGTGCTCATTTACCCACCATTGCTGTGTCATTGGGTTAATCCACAATTTTTTCAGTACATCATTTCTCACTTATCAAAGAATGCCTTAGATTTGTTTGTTACACTCTCACACAGAACATGTGGCTACCATCCTAAAGTCAGTCCCTCTCCTGTTACATATATGCTGGAATGAGAGCAGACAGACACACACACATTGGAGTTTATTTACTAAGTTCAGGGTTGTTATGAAGTGAAATCCAGATAGCAAAATTTAGGCTAAAAATAGCTGATTTGGAAAAATCTGTATCTCTGCTATAGTCACTGGCATTTTGGGGGGCTGAAGATAGGACATGTTAGAAGATAGAAGACAATGTGGGAAGTATGCATTTGTATAATTAAAGTTGAGGAGGTGAGGGAGTGTTTATTAATTTTAATACGGGGTAGTTGTGGGATTGGTACCTAGTACGTCCGCAGCAAATTTATTACTTACCCGATCGCTGCCGTTCCCCCACGTGAGATCGGCGTTGCTCCCGATCTGGGGGGACTGCCTGACAGCCCAGACAGTCCCCCCTCTGCAAATTAGGCCCCACTGGCCATGTGATTGCTCTGAAAGAGCAGTCAAATGGCCGCAATAGGTGTCTTTTCATCTGCCTGCAGGGGGACTGCCTGGGCTGTCAGGCAGTCTCCCTGCTGCTGAAAAATAAAAAAAATAATGTTTAGTAAATAAAAAAAATAAAAAAATAAAATAAAATAAAAAAATATATATATATATATATATATATATAAAAGTTATATATACATATATTATATCTAAACACACTTATAATTAAATTACACACACACATATATATATATATTATAAAATATAAATAAGGAAATAAAAAAATGTAAAAATAATAAAAACTTTATATATATATATATGTTGGAAGGCCAATTGGCCTGAATTTGTGGAGGAGTTATGACCCTATATAAACCCTACCCCCCTACTTACCTTTGCCGTTCAAGCTGTTTTGACCCCACCCACCTTCACCCTCCTTTACACATTTCTCTTTGTGGGCCCTCCTTTTTACAGGCCTACTCATACGTTGGTTTCGGCACACCTCAACCAACTTTGCTCCTCCTCTACATTCCATTAACATAATAGAGATTCCAAACACAAATATATATATATAAGAAACCAAGAGGGCTGCACTCACCTGAACATGCATACATTATAATGTGCTGTTGGGGCCAAAATATACAAAATACAGAATCCAGCGCACTCGCTTATCCACTAAACAATGATTTCAAATCTTAGAGATTGTAATAGTTTTATTTAAAAACACCACACCTAGGCAAAAAATTATGGGGTTTAGTTACATTATATGATCATACATTGCATAAGCCTGCCAACTAAGTCAAAGTACCCCATATTCGGCAGGTCCTATCCTAGTAGCAGCCTAATGCTTGCTCTTAGGAGAGTAATCCACTTACTTGGGAAATACTTCCTTACTGGGACTCTCTGCAAGTCAAGGCTAAATAGGATTCTGGAATGAGGCACCTAATGAAACACTAATATTTGTGTTCAGCGAAGTCTCCCGAGTATAACAGTTCCCCCATGTACAGGTTTTATAGTGTTTTTGAAAGTTACAGGGTCAAATATAAAGCTTGATTTTTGGGTTTTTCACATTGAAATTTGCCAGATGGGTTATGTTACCTTTAAGAGCATACGGTAGCCCAGGAATGAAAATTAACCCCATGATGGCATACCATTTGCAAAAGAAGACAACCCAAGGTATTGCAGATGGGGTATGTTCAGTCTTTTTTAGTAGCCACTTAGTCACAAACACTGATCAAAGTTAGATAATCAGAGTGCTCTTTGTCATTTTACACAGCGTGGGAAAATTCAAAAGAACTTTCCCACGCTGTGTAAAATGACACAGAGCACTGTGATTGGATGGCTTGAAATCCATCCAATCACAGTGCTCTGTGTCATTTTACACAGCGTGGGAAATTCAAAAGAACTTTCCCACGCTGTGTAAAATGACACAGAGCACTGTGATTGGATGGATTTCAAGCCATCCAATCACAGTGCTCTGTGTCATTTACACAGCGTGGGAAGTTTGCCGGGTACCTACGCTATTAATAAATGACAAAACACTCTGATTGGCTTAAACCCACCAATCAGAGTGTTCTTAGCCTAATTGCAGGGCGTGGCAAGGCTTTATAAGCCTTCCCCCGCCCTGCAGAGCTCAGTCTGCGCAGAGCCCTCCATGGGTAAAGATGGATTATTTTTTTGCGCTCGCGTTTTTTCTTTTTCGTCAGGTTTTTTTTTTTTTCGCTCAGGATTTTTATTTTATTTTCAATTCGACGGTTATGATGGTTTTTTATTTGGCCTTTTTTGGGGCTGAAAAATGAAGATTTTAGAAAAAAAGAAGACATCGAATGGTAAGTTTACTTTTATTTTACAGGTTAGTTATTTTATTCCCCCCTCACTATTTTTTAGGGTGAGGGGGGTAGGTAGGGACTTTTTATTTAGGGGGGGTGGGTGACTAGGGGCTTGGGGACCCCTAGTCACCTTGTGGGGGGGAATTTACTTAGGTCCCCCCCCCTCATTATCTTGGTGGCCCCCACCCGCCGCCCAGGGGTGGGGGCCGGAAAGGAAGTGGAGTCCCCCCCTCGTATTAACTATGGCCCCACCCGCCCAGCCCGGGGTGGGGGCGAGAAGGAGGACCCAGTAGGTCCCAGCATCTTTATGGCCCCCACCCGCCCCGCCCAGGGGTGGGGGCCGGAGGGGGGGTGGACAGTAGGTCCCCCCCCTCATTATCAATATGGCCCCAAACCGCCGCGCAGGGGTGGGGGCCGGGGGGGCAGTAGGTCCCCCCCCCCATTATCAATATTTCATTTTAGGGCCCCCACCCACCGCTCAGAAAAGTTTACGTTCGCGACATCACTAGTGAGGTGTGATTCAGAGATTTATGACAGATAACAGTGTTACAATGTCACTATTGATACATTTTAAAAAATATATATTTTGAAACAGCAATGTCCTACTTGTACTTATAGCCCTATAACTTGCAAAACAAAAGCTAAAAACATGTTAACATTGGGTATTTCTAAAACCAGGACAAAATTTAGAAACTATATAGCACTGGTGTTTTTGGCAGTTGTAGATGTGTAACAGATTTTGGGGGTCAAAATTTGAAAAAGTTTGTTCTTTTAAATATTTTCAGCATATTTTATAACTGTTTTAATAGTAAATTATATGATATGATGAAAATAATGAAATCTTTAGAAAGACCATTTAAAGGGACACTATAGTCACCTGAAAAACTTTAGCTTAAAGAAGCAGCTTTGGTGTATAAAACATGCTCCTGCAGCCTCACTGCTCAATCCTCTGCCATTTAGGAGTTAAATCCCTTTGTTTATGAACCCTAGTCACACCTCCCTGCATGTGACTTGCACAGCCTTCCATAAACACTTCCTGTAAAGAGAGCCCTATTTAGGCTTTCTTAATTGCAAGTTCTGTTTAATTAAGATTTTTCTTATCCCCTGCTATGTTAATAGCTTGCTAGACCCTGCAAGAGCCTCCTGTATGTGATTAAAGTTCAATTTAGAGATTGAGATACAATTATTTAAGGTAAATTATATCTGTTTGAAAGTGAAACCAGTTTTTTTTTCCATGCAGGCTCTGTCAATCATAGCCAGGGGAGGTGTGGCTAGGGCTGCATAAACAGAAACAAAGTGATTTAACTCCTAAATGACAGTGGATTGAGCAGTGAAATTGCAGGGGAATGATCTATACACTAAAACTGCTTTATTTAGCTAAAGTAATTTAGGTGACTATAGTGTTCATTTAATGGTGAGAGAAACTGTATATAATATGGGAGGGTACAGTAAATGATTAAGAGGAAAATTACAGCTAAACACAAACACAGCAGAAATGTAAAAACAGTCCTGGTCAAGAAAATGGTCTGGTCACTAAAGGGTTAAATAGGCTTTGTATAATCATAATGTGCACAGGAAAAGGTGAGTTCTATTTAACTGAGCCTGTCCATTGTGGATGCTGCAATCTTCCCTCGGCGGAGCCGACATCACTGCTGAACTCTCACTCATGAGCGAGTATGGCATTGAGGTCTACAGAGAATCCTGTGATACCCTCAATAGATTAAGCCAATTTCCAGTAGACCTGCCCAGTATCTACAAGTTTCAGACTTAGGAAATATATAGAGGCTGATTCTATCTTTATGAAATACTCATTTTTATTGAAAGGCGTAGAGGTGACAATACCGCTTTAAAATCGATGATGATTTTTAATCGCACTCCCAATGGACCTGGCCAAACGTTGCAGACTTAGTCGGAATTACAATATGTAGACTGGATCGGGCTGTAGTAAATGTGAGAATTGCCACATAAAAATCCAGTCATTTGCACCATTCTATCCATCTGCACAAAATATAGCAGACTCTGTGTGCAATACTTAGGGATACTATACAAAGCTCACAAAATGACTTGATAATACAAAACCATACTGGACAATACAGTCTTCCAGGTAAAACAATAACTAGTCAGTAAATACTCTAACACTGAATGAAAAAATATATGACAGCACTCATTTCTTCACAATGACCAGACAAGTCCATGTCAATTTTATTACATGACAGGAGGCTTCATATTTTGCATTAAAGGACCACTATAGTGCCAGGCAAACATACTCGTTTTCCTGGCACTATAGTGCCCTGAGGGTGCCCCCACCCTCAGGGACCCCCTCCTGCCCAGCTCTGGAAGGGGGAAAGGGTTAAAAACTTACCTTTTTCCAGCGCTGGGGGGAGAGCTCTCCTCCTCCGATCCTCCTCCTGGGCTGAATGCGCACGCGTGGCAAGAGCTGCGCGCGCATTCAGCCCGTCGCATAGGAAAGCATTTACAATGCTTTCCTATGGACGCTTGCATGCTCTCGCTGTGAAAATCACAGTGAGAAGCACGCAAGCGCCTCTAGTGGCTGTCAATGAGACAGCCACTAGAGGATTAGGGGGAAGGCTTAACCCATTCATAAACATAGCAGTTTCTCTGAAACTGCTATGTTTATTAAAAAAATGGGTTAACCCTAGAAGGACCTGGCACCCAGACCACTTCATTAAGCTGAAGTGGTCTGGGTACCTAGAGTGGTCCTTTAACTTTCTTTACTAGCTCCACAGCAGCAAAGAAAAAAAAAAAACAGTTGAACAAAAGAACCAATCAGCATGAGTCAGAGCATATATAAGTTCTAGCCAATCCATCCATTTCCTCTTTCTTTGCTGCTCCATCACAAGTCAGGTCAGAGTAATACTTCCTCAATTGTTATATTTTCTTATTTGTGTTGCTTTATTGTATGTTCTTTATTTACTGTGTATTCTAGGGGCTTTCAGGCTCCCTGCTACTGGGGGGTGGCTGGGGTCATCCTTGGGGTACCCCTTTAACAGCCAGGGATCCCCCAGCTCTTGCCCGGGTAGCTCCCGGTCTTTTCCCCCCTCCCTTTACGTTCCACCAGTGGCTACGTTCGCCACTTTCTCTGAGGGCTCTCCGCCCTATTCGCGCAATACAAACGCACGAATAGAGCGAGGCAGCCCTAGGTTCGCGTGCACAAGCGATCACCATTTCTTCAGTGAATTCACGCGAACGGATTGGATTCGCGTATACACTCCAATCCGTTCGCGGCTTTATATTCCATTGCGCGTTCGGCTGTCTTAACCCGCGAACTGAGCCGTTCACGAGTTTTAACCGAATGCTATTGCTTTGCAAATATATAGATTTTTGCTGGCTTTTCCCGCTTCCTGTGTAGTCGTGGCGGCCATTTCGTGAGGGAAGAAGCATAATACTCATCACACCAAGCCGTTCAAAGCGACAGGACCACTGGGAATAGAGTGCCTTCTGTGACATTATAAGGTGGGTGTGATAACCCTAGGGAGTGGGACAGCCAGTTAGGTTATATACCCAGTATCCTGGCTAGGGGTGAGCCCCCATTTGGGAAGAGACCCACAGTGCTGCCTAACGGAATCTGTTCAAGCAGATTCCGACCGACTGGGTGAGCCCCAGTGATATAGAGTCCGCTTGGCTTACCAGCGACTGCTATTCGGCCAGTGACCGGTTATACTCCCCTCCCACGCACTCCAACTCCCAGGTAACTGACAACTGCCCTGTGCCTGTTAGTCTGTCAGTCTCTCTCTCAGTCTGTCAGTCTCTCTCTCAGTCAGTCACTCAGTCTCTCTCTCAGTCAGTCACTCAGTCTCTCTCTCAGTCAGTCAGTCTCTCTCTCAGTCAGTCACTCAGTCTCTCTCTCAGTCAGTCTCTCAGTCTCAGTCTCTCTCTCTCAGTCAGTCAGTCTCTCTCTCTCTCTCTCTCTCTCTCAGTCAGTCAGTCTCTCAGTCTCAG